AGACAGATTCCTAGAAACCCAGACCTGGGGCACCACTAATCTAAAAATACACCACTAATTTGGTTCTGTTCAATACATTACGTCTTAAATGTATCTTCCAGTGATTACTGGCATTGTGCTACAAAAGTTCTATACAAAGGAGACTTCTTGTCATACTAAACCTTAAATTTTAACAAGGACATCTTAATATTTAAAGGTATAACGATTTCTGAAGAAAGAGCAGCATCATTATGAAGCAACCCATATCCCCAGCGGATTCTAGGGTACCTTGCGTAGTGCCTTGTATTTAATAGCACCGTGTAATTACCAGTACTTGTTGAAGTCAGCATATATTCTCAAATGCCTGTGCTTGAAAGGGTACATAATTATAATGTCTGTGTTGTTGCCAAGTCTAAAAGCCAGAAGTACAGACTGCTGACAACAGAAACTTGTTGCTGGAACCAAGCAATCATGACCATAATCTTCTGGCAAAAGCAGCTACATATGTAGTACTTCGGATGCTTATTTTGTGGCATGACTGATTGAGACAATAGTAAAAAGCATTGTCATGGGATATTAAAATGACAATTGGTGTTAAAAGTGACTCTATGGATGCATCAGTGCTACTATTAAGGATGGACAGAAAACATTTGTCAAACTCACAGAATGAACTTTAATGAAGCTGCTTGGTAGAAAGCATTCTTTTAAGAGGAAACTGGAAAGGCCAGATGTAATATATGAAAAGCCACATTCTACACAGATGCACTGAAGTTGTATATAGTACATCAAGTTTTTGTATTGCTAATTATCTTGAAGCACTATAGAGGCAAATTAACTAATTTTCCATACATTATCACACCTAGGCTCCTAGAATACACTTCAGGTCAGTCTTGCACAATCTTCCAAAAAGAACTGAGTTGAGATCTAAGAGGCCATTATTCAGTGCTGATAATCAAACACTCAGGAATTAACTGATTTCTATTTAATCTCATTTAATCTATTGATGCCTTATAATTAATTCCGAGATTAAACTCTAAATGTATTATTGATAGCAGAAGCAAAATGGTTTTAATGCTACCTCTTCACTGGGCCAGATTTAAAAGTGGAACTGTCATGTATGTTTCTTCTACTGAGAACAATACAGCAAATTGCAACTATGAAGCTGCATCCTGTGGCCAAACTTAGGGTCCAATTGTCCAGCTACCTACATCCAAAAAATTCAAGCTACAACTACCATATGTAAGTATTTAATCTAAATCACTCTTATCATGTATTCTGCCAATGTTTTGTTCCAGAATACACCTATACTTTTTCAGCGGTTACTTACTGTAAGCCATATGCTAAGCATATACCTAAACTCCAACTACTTGCATGGTTTTGTCAAAATATCTTTAGGTTTCACATTTGGGCATTTCCCATTTTGCTTCTCTTCCCCCAGAACATCATAACCATCTTTTGGAAGGTCCTGTTGGATATGGACTTGATGGTCATTGCCTAAGCAGCTTGTAAGTAATTCTCTCAAGTTCTGTTTTAACAGAGCACCTACAGTTATTAAACTTCGTATTTTTCAAATCTTCATATTACTGCTTTAGTCTACTGCTACAGCATCTGCACTGTAACAAGAAAAACGCTCTCCTTACAGGGTTCTTTAAAGGTATGGGATATCCTGACAACTAGAATATACGGGCTTAACTCTATCCTTTCTTGCAACTCCCATAATGTTCAATAAACTGCACATTATAGAGGTACCTGAGCTAGCAACACTGTAAGAATTAATATGGCAGCATACTAATTCACATACTGTATGTGAGATCCAGAGATGCTAGCTCCAATCCCTACTAGAGGCAGTAGAGCTGTAATAACAGTGCTGTTTGTGGGCTAATTATGCTTGCATTTCAGAAGACTAATGACTTTGAGTAGAGCCAAGTTCGGTATCTTTGCACAGTGATGTACTTCATGGATATATTTCGTTCTTTCCTCCACCTTCCCACACACATTTGCCTGAATTAAGACACTATATACTGATGGTTTTACCTGTAGCCAAAATTTCCATATGGTAGAGAATTCTGCTCGAATATATAACACTACTCTAGAGAGAAACAGAAGCAGAAAGAAACAGAAGAATTGTTTTTGTAACAATTATTAAAATCTCATGGTTTGCAAAAAGTCCAAAACATGATTTCTGTTAAGAATCAGTAGGAGTTAGTTCAAGCTTAGCCTGACAAGGAAAGCATTAAAAACAGCAATTATGGTAGAAACTATTTAAAGCTAGTATTTAGTTTTCTAAAAGCATTCATTTATTCACACTAATGATGCCGTATACTACCCCATCTGCTACAAAAGCTGATAATCTTTGATGAAAACCCACTCAGGTTTGTTACAGTGTACATGGGACGGCTATTCTGGTTGAAATTGTCCAAAATCTTAACATTAATTAGAAAAATGAAGTAAAATGCCAGTAAATATAGAAAAAAAGGTATGCATTGAACAGCAATGGAAGTATTTATGTCCCCATGCGCACATCTTTAGGTATCAATTCAGAATGCACTTATCTGGCCAAAACAGTTATTAAATATAAGGTAATGCATATTCTACACCTTTTTCCATGTTTGAAATCTGATTTCCCAAATGTCTGGAATTTTTGTATAGGGCTTTTCTGGCCTGGTTTGCCTTTTTTCCTTTCTTTCAGCCAATAAAGCTTGTTCTAAGAAAACACGGAATTAACCGAAGAAATGAGAGACTCAAAGCCAACTTCAGTTACTTTTGTATTTGTTGCAAAAACTGAGTCAGAAAGCAAAACCAAAGAAATCCAGTCAATTTTTGTTTGAAAGTTCCCCACAAAATGACATTTAAAGAGGCTGAGTTTTGGGACTACCTGCAATAAAGTTCTATTCAATCTCATACCAGTGTTAAACAAGCACTATTCTACCAGCTTCCCTTCTCAATGGTACAACAGAGAACCTCCAGATAGATGACTTTAAGAAAACAATAACAACTTTCTATACTGAAGAGGAAAATTACTTTTGGGTTGAAATTAAACAGAAACAGGGAGAACTGAGAATATGGATTTGCAGTTTTGTTAGACTAAGGGGTCAATGGCAATTTCTCTCACACATAGCTTAAGCTGCTGACATATAACAAAAAATAATTTTGACTGCTGCCAAATGTTGCCTTTACATAGCTGTACTACTTACACTTCACTAAACCCCCATCATCTTTTAAAATGCTGCTCTATAACATTTTATTGCATTTAAATCGGAAGTAAACAGTCCAGTATAGCAAAGAATCAATGACATTTTTAAATTATTTTACATATGTAGTCTTGAATATTCTATAAATTAAGTCAAATGAATAATATTGATTTGAATTTAAACACATGTGATGGCAGTTCACATTACAGAGGACTGGAGAAGACCACCAGTATGGTTAAAGTGTTCGGTCTTTTTCCTTCTGAACTGTAGGGCTTTATCTTCCTATTGATTTTATTTAATGCATCATTAATTATTCATGGTTATTTCTAATTCATCAGTAATTATTATTATTGTTTCCTCTAATCTTTGCATTTAACAGACCAAATAAATCTAGGATTTTCTTGGTAGTTACCCCAAGAAGGTTGCAATCGATGAACCAACTCAATGTATTTGTTTTAATGTAACCTCTGCACTCTAAAACTGAAAGAGACTGCTTCTGGAAGTGCAATTCAAAATAAAAATCATCACTTTTTGATTAAACAACCTGTGCTGGTTTTGGCTGGGATAGAGTTAATTTTCTTCATAGTAGCTAGCATGAAAACAGCGGTGATAAGACAGGGATGTTTTAGTCACTGCTGAGCAGAGCTTACACAGAGTCAAGGCCTTTTCTGCTTCTCACCCCACCCCACCAGCAACTAGGCTGGGGGTGCACAAGAAGCTGGGAGGGAACACAGCCGGGACAGCTGACCCCAACTGACCAAAGGGATGTTCCATACCATATGACATCATGCTCAGCATATAAAGCTGGAGGAAGAAGGAGGAAGGGGGGATGTTCAGAGTGATGGTGTTTGTCTTCCCAAGTAACTGTTACACGTGATGGAGCCCTGCTTTCCTGGCGATGGCTGAACGCGAGGCCTGACCACCTGCCTGCCGATGGGAAGTAGTGAATGAATTCCTTGTTTTACTTTGCTTGCACGAGCGGCTTTTGCTTTACCTGTTAAACTGTCTTTATCTCAGCCCACGAGTTTTCGCACTTTTACCCTTCTGATTCTCTCGCCCATCCCACCGGGGGGGAGTGAGCGAGGAGCTGTGTGGGGCTTAATTGCCGGTTGGGGTTAAACCACGACAGTCCTTTTTGGTGCCTAACGTGGGGCCTCTTCAGCACATGTCACGTCCTCCTTTGGGGATATTCCAAAATCTTTGCCTTCTGGCCAGTCCATGATCACTTCCAAGATTCCTGGGCGACTGGGGTTTCCTATTCGAGCCCGTTGTGTGATCAGCGCAACCCACTTACTCAGGGCACTAGGAGGAGCTGGGCTTCAGTACCAACCACTTCCGAAGCAGCTCAAATCCCTTCATACACTGCCAATATCTCTTTCTCAGTTGGAATATAGCGGGCCTCAGATCCTCTGTATCCCCGACTGTAACCCTAAGGGTCGACCTTGAGTATGCTCTGGTGCTTTCTGCCAGAGGCTCCAGGTAGGGCCATTCTCCCCGGCTGCGGTGTAGAGTGGATTTTTTACATCTTGCCCTTCCCAGACTGGCCCAAGGGCTACTGCATGAACTCTCTCCCGTTTAATTTGTTCAAAAGTGTGTGGTTGCTCAGGGCCCCACTTGAAATCATTCTTCCTGGACGCTTGATATAAAGGGCTTACAAGCAGACTGTAATTTGGAATGTGCGTTCTCCAAAAACCCACAACACCTAAGAAAGCTTGTGTTTCCTTTTTGCTAGTTGGTGGAGACAGAGTTGTTATTTCGTTGATCACATCCATTGGGATCTGACAATGTCCATCTTGCCATTTAATTCCTAAAACTGGATCTCCTGTGCAGGCCCCCGAGCTGCAGGAGCTGCTGGTGGCCGTGTGGCTGCAGTGCCCCGCCATCAGCAGGATCTACATAGTGGGGCACAGCACCGAGTTCTTGGTCATCGAGGTCTGCCCCGGCGAGCATGAGCCAGAGAACCGGAATTTAAATACGTTGGGAATATGCATGGGAATGAAGCCATCAGAAGGGTGTTGCTCATCTTCTCGGCTCAGTACTCATGTAATGAATACCAGAAAGGAAATGAAACTATCAGCTTGATCCATAGCACGCGTATCCACATCACGCCACCTTTGAATCCGCAGGGCTTTGAGAAGGCAGCATCCCAGCCTGGTGAACTTAAAGACTGGTTTGTTGGTTGAAGTAATGCCCAAGGGATAGACCTAAACCAAAATTTCCCTGATCTTGATAGAATAGTCTATGTTAATGAGAAAGAAGGTGGCCCAAAGAACCATTTCCTGAAAAACATGAAAAAAGCCATGGACCAGAATCCTAAGCTTGCTCCTGAAATGAAAGGTGTCATTCACTGCATTATGGATATTCCCTTTGTGCTCTCCGCCAATCTTCACAGAGGAGACCTCACTGCAAACTATCCTTATGATGAGACTCGGAGTCGCAGTACTCATGAATACAGCTCCTGCCCCAGGGATGCTATTTTTCAAAGCCTGGCTCACAGTTATTCTTCTTTCAGTCCTGCCATGCCTGATCCAAACAGGCCACCGTGTCGTAAAAATGACGATGACAGCAGCTTTGTGGATGGAACAACTAATGGCGGTGCATGGTACAGCATCCTGGGAGGAATGCAGGATTTCAATTACTTCAGCAGCAACTGCTTTGAAATCACAATGGAGCTGTGAAAAACTCCCACCTGAAGAAACTCTGAAGGGCTACTGGGAGGACAACAAGAACTCCCTTATCAATTACATTGAGCAGATTCATCGAGGAGCGAAGGGGTTTGTTAAAGATCTCCAGGGCAATCCAATAGCAAATGCTACAATTTCTGTGGTGCTTACTTGCCGGTTGGGGTTAAACCACAACACAACCACATCACCTAAATGAATACAATTTTATCCATCCCACTGAAGTAATTTGTATCACTGAAAGCTTCATCACTACATGTTTGCAATGACAATGTTAAAAATTGTTTAAAGAATTGTCATTGCAAACAAAGTTGCTGCTCAGAAGCAGTTAGCTAAGCACCCGGTACCAGTGTTCCCTGAGAGCTGAAGTGGACTTCTGTCAATGTTGCATCTTCTGCAAGGAGAACAATTTCCTTCTCAATGGAAGGAATTTCCTTCAACCAGTCCAACCTAATTAATTAAATATACTGGAACTTAAAAAAAAAAAAAAATTACCCTCAATCTATTCTTTTAATCTTTTTACAGCCTTAAAAATCTGCTATTTATGAAACATTAAAGGGTGCAATGTTTAAGAAAAAGTTATGTTATTTGCAAATAATACTACCTTTGTTAAAACCATTTTTAGGTTCAAACCATCTTTTTTTTTCCTTCCCACATATGTAAAGGAGGTCCTCTTGCAAAACAAAAAAAGTGTAACACTAATTGAATCCAATTAGAACATGACAATAAACTGTTGCATAAGAATTGTGAATGCATATTTTCATTAAAACCTATAATCTGCACAAATGTATGCTCATCTATAGAACTACTTAAATGTAGAGAGTGCACATATGTTTAGCAAAATGCAGTGCTTAATTTAACATAAAGGCTGATTTGCAGTTGAAAGAATCTTAATAATTACTAATCAAACTGAATTAGCCTCTTTTCTGGAAAGCAATTAAAGGGAAAAAAATACAAGTCAAGATTAAAAACAAGCCAGAGCATATGTCACTAGCTTGTGTCAATCCACCTAGGTGCAGTTTAAAAATCTCAACATACTAGCAATTTGCCTTAAATTTTCAACAGAGAGAAAACAACTGTTTTCATTTTTCACGGGTGATTAAATGCACAAGTTACTCAGCCGATAGCCATATATGCCTCAGCACATTTGACCTCCACAAGTGCTGGGAACAGAACCATGTGGAGTTCTTGAAGGTTTATGTTTCACATTTGGTTTTGGTTATTCAAATAACGTGCATTACACCTGCATCAGTTCACAATAAGTTTATTTTATGTGAAGAAAAGCTTTGCCATTAATGAAAAATTTCAGTAGAAAACAGTACCTCCTGCTTTCAATCTAGATTACTCAAAAGTAGAAGCTTGTATTAGTGAAAACTTCAGTAGAAACAAATCTGTAGGAAATATGTTCTTGGCACATGAACTAAAAGCTTTAAACACATTAAGTTTGAATAGAGTATTTACCATGCAACCGTGCTGGCAGAAAAGCCAGTTTGTAATGGCTGGTATTTGTCCCTCAAGACAGTAACATGGAAGACACTTAAACCTGCTTACATAACGTTAACTGTATATAAATACGGTGTCACCATCATTGACAGTCTTTATTCAGGCCAACCATCTAGTTTAGCAGTTCTAAATAAGTAATAGGCACTTTGCCTTTCTGATTTCCCCTTTCACCCATCAGCCAGTCTGAATCCATGCCAGGGATACTGTACACTGTTATCACCTGAAAAACAGAAAACACATTATTATAACCTTGCCTTGCCTGGAAAAAAATTACTGCCTATCTTCATGTGATTTCCAGGGTCTTAGAATTGAGACTAATCAAGTTAAATAGAGCATTTAATATAAGCATCCATGGAACATAATCTAGAGCTTATAAAAATTATTTCACTGGTCCATGGAAAAGAAGTAGATATAGTAGGGTATTTTAAAGTCCCTTTTTTTCTGATGAAATTCTATTCATTACTGTTTCTTTGCTATCATCTTTTACCTATAAGTCTTGTATATCGCCATCAACTTTAACAGGAAATCTAAAAGAAAGTTCATTGGATCTTCAAGTGCATGACAGAAAGACAGATGGTGTTGATGTACTACACCTTAACAGAAAATCTTAGGCCACAGCTTCTAAGTCACTGTCTAGATAAGAAAAAACTCAAACAGAAATATTTAAGTAATGCACATTTAAAAAAAACAAAAAGTCTGAAAACTTTTTTGTGGATTCTTTTCTTCAGGGTTAAGCTACAGTCATATTACTAGATGGAACTCTGTTCCAGCACCCTGCTTCATTGTATATCTCCACCTGCTTTGTATAGGCTCTCTGACTTAAGAGTGCAACCGAATTGGAACAGGAATAAAGACAGCACAACCACCACCATCAAAACAAGAAGTGGTTGTATTTTCATATTCTTACCAAATTGCAGTATTTAATGTTTAAAAGACTAACTGTATTGATAACAGTGCTAAAGGTGTGGTAAAAAGAAGATAGCAGAATTGCACCTCAATTGTCTAGCAAATGTTCTTGCAAGCTAAGCTGACGTAACAAATGTTCAGTCTCACTATAGAATGTTAGGGTACATAAGACAGTGCTCTAAGAGTACTACTGAAGTTTAATTTAAAAAGTCAACTACACAGATTTCTCGATGTAGCACATCTTAACTGGCTAGTCACAAGCATTCTGATTTTACTTTTAAATGATCAAGGTACATAAAAAACTCTTACCTCATCTGCAAGTAGTGATAATTCACTGCTGTTTGCAGCATCGTAATCATACAGAACTCTAGCTTTTCTGTTGCCACTTGATGACTTCAGTTCACTGATGCCTGAAGTAACTATTGAATTGCTTACTGAAGGCAATGAAGCAGAGGCTGAGGCCAAGACTGAGGGAGTAGAAACACTCTGCGCAGGAGTTGAGGAAGACTGATTATTGTTAGAGAGGAAAGTGGATGGAAAGCTGTGGGAGAAAACAAAATGAAAAGACTTCTGAGTGAATCAGTTCTACGTGGGGAGTTTTCCACGCCTCCATGCGTAAATTACCATTCTTGCTTCCATCAACGACAGAATAAACACCAGCAGACTGCAGTAATAGAATAGCATTGATATTTGTATAAACCTAAATAAAGATACTTGTTCCTGACCTGTAGTATAAATCAAACCAATATACTTTAAGACAATTGCCTCAAAAAAAAGAAAAAAAAAAAGGCATAAACAGGAAAGCACTGTTGGTCAGACTTGATTCAGACTGTACTTTAATAAAAGTTTCTTTTGACAGCTCTGCCAGCAAAAGTAGCCTCCACCTCCTCCTGCTCATTCCTCAATTACGTGGCTACACAAAAGATTGTGCTGGTCAACCAGATCAGGGTAATATAATGCAGGTTAAAAACACAGCCTCCCTCTGAAAGAAGAAAAAAAACCCACAACTATTTTTGTAATCTAAATCAGTTCATTGATTCAGCTAACTGCATGCTGTAAAACAAAAATATTTGTTAAACTAAAGATGAACTTATATCAACTTAAGCCCCTTCTTTCTAGGTCAGGCTGCTGCTTGTTCTGTGCCAGCTGCAGTGTTTGCCAGACCCTTCCATGAAGTCAATTCAACTCATTAACCTGCCTGGGAAAAAAAAAAAGGTAGGAAAAAAGTGTATAATCTTATACTAAATTAATGAGATGAATCACAAAAAACCTGTGATGAGAATCAGAGAAGATACAAGGGAAAGAACAAAATAACATGGCTGAAAAGTGTAAGGAGCAGAGAGGAGAGCAAAGAAGCAAGAGATTTCCGGGCAACGGGATAGGGAGAATGGGACAGCATGGGGAGCAATGATGAGCTGTAAGATTGGGTCATGGTCTTATGTCATTCTGCCCTACATCCTAGGATGCAGTTCCATGGCAGACTAAACTTATTAGCAGTTGATGTAGTCATTCCTTGTCATCTTTGCTGCCTTCCTTTGTTCCAACACTCATCTGATTCTACCTTAAAAGCAGGTCAATGAAGGTTTTGAAAAGTGGCAGAGCTGATGCAGTGAAAAAGGGTCAGCAACTAGGAGTTAGACTGAGTCAGGATGATGTGGAACCGTAGCTGCATTTCCTTCCATTCTTTTGACCAGTCAACTAGTCAGCCAATTCCCACACATAACTTTCCTCATCAGTCCTTCTACGTAGAAGCTTTTTCATTAACATCCAGGGTGTGGACACATTACACCCCTCCCTTTTTTCTTTTTTTGCCTGCTCTTTTGACATAATGAAGATCTATTCATATTGTATGTATGAACCTGTCGGAAAACACAGTCTCATCTCATCCCTTGGAACAGGCTGCCCAGGGAAGTAGTTGAGTCACCATCCCTGCAAGTATTTAAAAGACGTGTAGATGAGGTGCTTAGGGACGTGGTTTAGTGGGCATGGTGGTGTTGGGTTGACAGTTGGACTCAATGATCTTAGAGGTCTTTTCCAACCTTAATGATTCTATGATTCTGTGCTCCCCAGTTAAGTTCTTCTTGAAGATGCAGTTCAGTGGCAGCTTTAACCATATAAATCAAGATCGGTGTATTCCCACACCCATGTCTGCAGCATTATTGGTACTCATATAATCGTAAGAGGAGCTAGTTTAGGGAGCTGATGCAGGTGAAAACTAATCTATCAATATAGCGACTAATTTTTGGATTGTGTGGCCATGAACATAGGTGGAATTAAGATAGCTCAAATCTGTATCAGCTGCACCAGTATTGCACACAAGTTTACAGTTTCACACTATACTTAATCTGGTAAATCTACACTGCCACCAAACAGGGTGAACCCACTCCTGTACCCCTTTATTATGCAAATGTTCATTCTCTGTCATTTGAGTCAGATCTAGCAATCTGTTGCTTTTGAGTTGATTCAACAATCTGATCTAACAAAAATCATCAAGAAGATTACTAACTTTCCATCAGAACAGCTTGTTAAACATGTTCACCTTGCAATTTTATCTGTTATATCTGACTGAAGGCAAACAGCAGGAGTATATTGTGAAGGACAAAACTAACCCCTTTACAGTTAGACTGAATTGCATGTGAAAAATTGGGTAGACTTTCAGGACATTGTTGTGAGCTTAGTTAGCAGTTTACTACCGTCAAAAGGAAGAAGTCCCGCTTTCCCCTCTGGCTTACCTTGACTTCATTTGATCACAAAGAGCTGGTTCAACTCACCAAGAAGAGGCTGCAACTC